ATGAAAGACTTTTAGGGTTCTAAAACTTAATGTTTAAGCAAAATGCAAGAGAATTTTTGTGTTTAAAAATATATTTTGGGTAGATCTCATAGCTGCCATTACAAAAAAAATGCCTTATAAGTATTATAATATAGTTTTTACATTGAAAATGTTTCATAATATTTATATTGAACTTATTTTTTTTATGTACAACACAAAACTAACTGGCAAAAACTATAAGAAGATGAGCCACAAAAAAATATGTAAAGAAGATAAGCTACAAGAAGATACCTGTAGAAGATCGATTAAAAGAAGATAAGCCACAAAAAGATATGTAAAAAAAGAAGATACCTTGGAAGATCTATTTAATCTAATATTAGATATGTTGATAATTTGTAAAATTTTAAATTTTTTTGTAAAATGTTAAATTTTTATTAAAATGCAATTACGCAAACTTTTTGTTATATTAATTTCAACGTTACTATTATGGCGCGCAAAAACGTAATATTTTAGCGCCCATTCTGTAAAATACTAAAATGCGAACACCGAGAATTATCGTACCGAGAACTTACGAACTTTACCGAGTTTGGGGTGCGCCGTTTACAGGTCCGCCGTATTTTTTATGTATTTAATGTATTTTTTATGTATATATTGTATTTTTATGTATGTATTTTTTATACATGTAATTTTATGTATGTGTGTTTTATACAAATGTAATCTTTTAAAGCAATTTGTGCGATTGATTTTGTAAACAAAAATACTTTCATTATTAACTGCGTTTTCAATGAAACTATGAATAGTCATCAAAGTTAATACAAATAATTTTAACCACTAATCCATTTTCCTCAGTGTACCCGATAACTGATTCTTTCCCTTAAGAATTAAAGTTTTTAAGTTCTTAGAAATTGGTTTACTAAATTCAATTATTTTTGCTTCAGCCATTCTTACAAACTCGTTATGCTTGAACTTAAAGTTACTTTTTTCTGTTCTAGATCCCCCTACCTTCTAAATCCACCACTGTAGATAAGACATAAGTATATAAATAAAAATTATATATACTCTTTGATAAATCGGAGAAAAAGTTTCTTTATTAAACAATCATTAATAGTAAGTTGTTACTTTATATAAAAAATGTCACTTAATTTTATAAAAAAAAATTTATAAAAGAGCGACTTCTCAAAAATATTTGCACTAATAGTATTTATTTTGCTTAAAATTTTTTCGCGTTAAAAGCTCTTTTTCTTTTTTTAACTGTCTCTCATCGGTCCAGTTAATCTTATTGCGCTTTTTTGTTTGTTTTTGAAATGTTCTCAAAACGACTAAATATCTGTCCGGTTTTTCGCAACTAAATATTATTTCCGTGGTCAATTATTGAGTGCGATCGCATCCCGACCAAGCCTGCATATGTGATGCGACTCCTAAAATGATGAACGGTGAACTAAATGACTTGTTAAAAAAGAACATTATGGTTTTGGTCTGTCTACTTTGCATACGTGGATTCGTTTTTTTGAGTGCATGCTACACATTAGCTATCGTTTAGATATAAAAAAGTGGCAAGTTAGAAGCAATGAAGATAAATCTAGTGTCCAAAAACGTTCAGAAGATATCAAACAAAAATTTAAAAAGCATATGGGCCTTATTGTAGATAAACCAAAACCTGGCTTTGGGAATACAAATGATGGGAACACAGCTCGCAGGTTTTTTATGAAGTCAGAATTGAGTGGCGAGATTACGGGTTTAGACATCAGTCTCATTAAAAATTTCAGTATTTTATTAAGAGCACTTTCCTCTGGCTATGATATTAACTATTATGAATTTGAAAAGCTTTGTTCTGAAACCAAAACTCTTTATATTAATCTATATCCGTGGTACTATATGCCTGTTACTGTGCATAAAATACATGTACATAGCAAGGAAGTTATAAAAACATGCCTTCTTCCATTAGGACAACTATCGGAAGAGCCTCAAGAAGCCTGCAATAAAGATTTTCGTCGATTCCGCGAACACCATACAAGAAAAAATTCACGTATGTGCACAAATATAGATTTGCTCAATATGCTTTTAGTAACATTAGATCCTGTCATCAACTCACACAGAGAATTGTCCAGTAAGAAAACGGTTAAACTATCGTTGGAAGTTTTGAATTTAATTATCCCACCTATAATAGCACCACAGCTTGTTAAAAATAGAATTATGTGTGACGATGAAGATTATTTAAAGTCCGATTCATCGGGTAGTGAAAATAACAATGATTCATCCGATAATAATTAATTATTATTAAAGTATTTTTTTTATTTTATGTAGTGTAGTGAGTATATTTTTATATTTTGTATATTTGTAGTGAGTATATTTTTATTTTAGGCGAAAAAATTTTACATTATTTATGTGTTGAAATTTAGTATTTATTTTTATTACTTAATTATCTTTTTCAAGACAAAAATTTTTAAAAACTTAAAAGTAATTAAAATATCGCCTTTTTTACAATAAAATTGAAAAAAAAAAAAAAAATTTATAGTAAAATTGACTTTTTGGCGCCCCTTTAAGCTTAAACGCGCAGGGTAATTGCCCCCTGCCTCCCCCAGGTACCATACTGCATAACTAATCAATAAAACACCAAAATATTGTTAACTACATTCTTAGAAATGAATTTATAAAACAAAATTTATCTTAATTATTTTTGTCCACCTAGCTTGTATGAAGCGATACACTTTTTGTATTGTTTTTTGATTTTATATTTCATGTTAATTTAATGTACTTAATATTCACGAGCGGTTCTCGATGATTAGACTTTTTTTTTTTTTTTATTTATTTTTTTTTCGTCATTTGACACATTTTACAATGTTAACCTTGCATTCAAATAAATTTATACAAATGCAAGCTAACTGGGGTAAGTAGAAGACAAAATGTCTTATCATCAAGCCTCTTCGTGAAAATAAAAAAATAAATAAAATTTTACAATTTCCAATAATATATAAAAAAGCGAAATTAAAAAAATTTTTAAAAAACAAATAAAAAAGTTTGAAAAAATCAAAAAGTTTAAAAAATAATTTTTAAGTTTGACAAAACTAAAAAAGTTTGAAAATAATAAAAAATAAAAAAGTTTGAAAAAATAGTTTACAAATCCTTACATATGCGTATACATATCCAATAAACTTCATAATATTTATTTAAATTAGGGATGCACCGAACCTGGTTTTTGGCCGAACACCGAATCCGAACGTTCGGCCATGAAAGTTCGGCCGAATACCGAACTTTTACTATTTTTAAATATAAACATTGGTTTACGTCAAAAACATTTTGAACTCGAAGTGAAAACTATATTTTTAAAAATTTAATGTGGTTTTTAAAACATTAGATATATTTTGAAAATATGTGAAGAAAATTTAAATAACTATCTAAATTAAATTTATTATTGGATGATTGTTTGTAGTCACTACACTACAATGTAGTGTAAAGAAGTAAAAATGTTAAGAAGTTTTTATTTGAAAAATGAAAAATTAAATTTATGAGTATGACTTATTAATAATGAGTATAAATAATTAACAATATAATATACTAAAATTATATTGTAATTTATAAATTGAACTTCTTAAAATAATATTTTACGTTAAGGATTTATTTTAATAGTTGTTAATTGTTAATGTTAAGGCTTAAAGTTAAGCTATTTAGCTAACGTTTATATTTGTAGACTATAGTAAAAGCTTAGCTTATATGTTATAACATTTAAGCTAAGTTTATACTCTATTTTACAAATATAAAAGTTACTTAATAAAAATAAAGCTATAACATAAAATATTAAAACCTAGTATCTGGCATGTTTTTATATTATATTTTTTTGTTAAACTTTATTTATAATAAGTATATATTTTTAATTATTTAGAAGCATAAAAAAATGTCTTCAAAAATAAAATTTAAAAGTATAGTTTGGAAATATTTTGAAGCTTCAAAGAAAGATAATCATTTTTGTATTTGCCTACTTTGCAAAGCATTACTTTCTAGAGGCGGGTATTGTCCTAAAACATTCACCACTAGTGCAATTTAAAAAACAAGCACTTTGCAGAATATAAAATAGCTAAAAAAGAGTCAGACAAAAAAAATTGAAACATCTACATCAACTACAGCCTCTACATCAAGTGATTCTGAGTTAAAAAAACAATTAACATTACTGGAGAGTCTTAATAAAAAAAAGCTGTGGGATGTAAATGATGGGTAAAAATATATGAAATCATCCAAAAAAAATAATTTTCGACACCCTTACGTCTCAGAATTGGTTTTTTTTACTCCACTTGGAGTCCATATCAAAAAAATAACAAATGCAAAAATTTTAGTTGAAAATACCGATGGGTTCCAGAGATATCGTCAGTTGAAAAAGTGCTGACTCAGCATTTTAGTGATTTTCTGAAGCGACTACAAAGCAACTTTGACATACAGTATTTCATAATGGCTTGGGGAAATTTCCTAAAATTTGGTACTCTAATAGATTTTAACTTGAGGAATCCAAAAATAGCACTCTTAAGACTCAATTATCTCAAGAAATGCCTCAATTATTGAATTTTGTTCAAAATTATTGACTTGTAAGTTAGTGATTTTCGGAGGTAAAATAAAGACTGTGGCCCAAAATCCCGAGTAAAAATTTTAATTGTATATCATTATTTCATCTTAGGTCTACTGAAAAAAATTAGATTCATCAATTGTCTCTCTAATACATGATCAAAATTTGCATTTAAAAATGGTGTCTTTTTAGCAAAATTTAAATTTTGTAACAAAAGCAATAAAAATATTTTTTTAAACATTTATTTGAATAAAACACCAAATAGTGTTATTTATTGACTAGTTTAAATTTAAATAAACATTTAAAGTCATGGGCCAAGGGAGATGCCCTTCCTACCCACGGGAAGCCCCTCCGCCCCCTACCCCAAATCTTCCTAGATTTTTTTTTTGTTTTTACATAAAATGAATAAATAATAGTTAATTGTTAAAATACATTTTAAAAACATATTTTTTCAGTTTAAGTTTGTGAAACGATTTATTTGCGTTACTTCAAATCGATAAATACTTACCTCTTATTTCAAAGATCTTTTTACGATTTTAAGTCATAAATTCCAAAAACAAATGTTTTAAAATGTTTTTAAAACATATTGACAATAAATATCTTTATGTAGTTTTAGACTAATATAGTCATTGACATAATAAGATGGGAGTGATTTGTGATTTATTTAAACCCCCACCCCTCCTTCTCAGCCTACAATCCAAGGATTTGAAAAAAATAAAAGACATTTAAAATGCAAATTAGGTAAATAAAATAAAAACAAAATTATTTTAAGCATAATTAATTTTTTTTTGTAACCAACAGTTTATATTCTCCAAATCTAAATCAGTTATGTTGTATGTACGACCTGATATTGTTGTGGGTGTAGAAATTAGGCATATAACTTCAGAATTGAGCACTCAACACTCATCAGTTCTTATTGGCCAAAAGAAGTTTTTACCTGGTCCATGTGGATGCATGAATCTGACTTTTATATCAAGCTCACTTACATCTTCAGCAATCCCTACCCACCAAAATCCATCATAAAAACATGCAATATAATCCATTTTTTTAATATTTAATGAAATATCTACATAATGTTTGCTTTTTGGAATGATATCAAATATTTCAGTGCATGCATCAATACTTATTTTTTTATAACTTATAGTGTTTGGAGCAATTGGAATAAAATGATGATACATCCTTGTGCCAGGAACTGTTCTTCCACCTAAATATCTTTTTTCTAATTGTGCTCGTGTTTGATCAATTTCTTCTTTTGAAAATAACTTAAAATAAATTCCATTTATCTTGGCTTTACAAAAGGAGTACATTAAATTAACATCTAAAATCTGCCCAGTAATTATTTGTTTTAGACTTTCTTGACATACTACTCTTCTAAGTATCTACTTTGTGTTTTTGCAGTATATGAATGAGTGGTAAGGTTGTCAATACTGTCACATAATAAATCAATAAATTCATCTAGTGGCAATGACTGTGAAAGTAGTGTTGTACGATCTGTACTCTGCAATTGCTTAAATACTACATCTTCTTCATGCTCATGGTCCATAAACTCCTGCACTAAAAAACTTTTTAACGCTTCAATACCAGGACATTGGTTACATCGATGCAACATACATTCTGCATTTTCAAGAGAGCAAACAATCAATGCCATGAAATCTTTATAACTTTTATTCCACCTAATGGCATCAATGAGAAATTTTGTATTTTGGTGGTGTATGCAAACACATACATTGTGGGTACCTGACGCATTAGTTGTAATACACCATTTAGGTTTAAGAGTACAAAACTTTGACAAACTGACTTTGATGTTAGGGTAGTCTTTTTTAAATGCAACATGTAATTCATTAAGATTGAGTAGCAATAATCTTTTTTGAACATGTTGATTTTTCTTAATACTTACATAATCTTTTTTTCCTGGCATCATTCTTAAAAATTCATCACTATGATAAAAGTTAATCACTAAATTAACTGTTTCTAGTGAAAGTGGGTTTCCAGTTTTTTTTCCGGGTAATGATAGAATTACATTCTCATTTTTAACTTTTCTTGCTGTTCGAACAAGATACTCAGACACTTCAAAGTAGCTTGATATCTTTTTACGTGTCCCTGATTTTGGTGCGAGTGTTAACATTTGCACCTTATGGCGATAAGAGTCAGTCTCTGAAATTTTATTTTTTATTTCATACATTAAAATGTCTAGATCATGGTCATTGTTAATGTTGTTGTTTAAAATGGGGCTTTTTATTTCTGTTGTTAAAAAAGTTTCTTTAATATTATATGCTAATGAGACCATTTTTGCAACTCTGTCAATAGTGTTCTCAAACTTTTGTTTTGCTACAGGCAATTTGCTTTGTTTTTAAAGACTTTTTAGTTTGACCGGTGAGATTCCAAGCAATTCTATAGTGGTATCTCACTTTTTGATTCCCATTCCTCCTGTGAATTTAAATCTTCATCAGTTTCTATTGCTTTTTTGTAACATTTATTGCAGAATTTCCAACCTGGGGTTACATAAACATTATTTTTTTGCAAATAGTTTGCCATGTCTATGGAAATCTTTATATTACCTAAAAAACAAATTTAGTTTTACGTTGTTAAAATAACTGAAATTATAAAACTTTTTATAAATAATAAATTGTTTTCTTTTAATTTCCATATCAATTCTGTTGTAAATAAGGTAAGATTACCTTTTATAGCAATTTTTTTACTTTCCTTGTGTGTTCCAAAAGGATTGCAACACTTTGTAATTTTTCTCTCAAAATATTTTCCATAGAATTGCTCATGATAACAACATATAATTCTTATTGAACTATATTTTTCCTTTAAATTTGCTCGCCATATTATTTCTTCTTGTTTTTCACAAGGAAGATCTTTAAATTAAATAAAACCTTGTTTTCTTGAAAATCCAGTTTTGTGGCAATGAATGTTAAGACTTTTTTTAATGTCACATTTCTCCATATTAATTATTTTTATTATTTATTACCTAACAAAATAATATAAAAACTATAAAATTAAAAGTAATTCTTTAAGAAAATACAAACAAGTAAATACCTTTAAAAAGAACAAAACAAAACTTATGTTTGTTTTTTATATAAAAGGAGGTTTTAAGTCACCAATTTGAAATAATGAATTTTTTTTTTCAAAATTAAAATTAAATTGTATGTTTTTGCATTATTTATTCATTTTATGCAACAAAAAAAAAAAAAAAAAAAAATCTAGGGAGATTGGGGGAGGGGGCGTAGAGGCCTACCGTGGGAGTGTAGGGTATCTCCCTTGGCCCATGACTATAAATGTCCTAAACTATTCAATAAATGACACTAATTGATGTTTTATTCAAATAAATGTTTTAAAAAATATTTTAATTGCTTTTGTTACAAAATTTAAATTTTTCTAAAAAGACACCATTTTTAAATGCAAATTTTGATCACGTATTAGAGAGACAATTGATGAATCTAATTTTTTCAGTAGACCTAAGATGAAATAATGATATACAATTAAAATTTTTACTCAGGATTTTGGGCCACAGTCTTTATTTTACCTCCAAAAATCACTAACTTACAAGTCAATAATTTTGAACAAAATTCGATAATTGAGGCATTTCTTAAGATAATTGAGTCTTAAGAGTGCTATTTTTGGATTCCTCAAGTTAAAATCTATTAGAGTACCAAATTTTAGGAAATTTCCCCAAGCCATTATGAAATACTGTATGTCAAAGTTGTTTTGTAGTCGCTTCAGAAAATCACTAAAATGCTGAGTCAGCATTATTTCAAGTGACAATATCTCTGGAACCCATTGGTATTTTTAACTAAAATTTTCGCAGTTATTATTTTTTTGATATGGACTGCAAGTGGTGTAAAAATAAACAAATTCTGAGACGTAAGGGTGTCATGGTCTGGATGATTTCATATATTTTTACCCTGATCAAAGAGCTATCAAAATTCACAATCACATTGGAGAAATGATGGCATTGGACATTCAACTATATTCGATTGTAGAAGATCTTGAAAATCAATTGAAGAGCTGTGTCCTAATTACCAAATACCTAGTAGGAGATATTTTAGTGAAAATATTATTCCACAAATATATAATAAACTATTTAGTTATATCAAGAATAATATATCTGCTGCCATTCATATCTCTCTTACAACTGACATTTGAACAGCAAATAGTTCAAATGTTGCCTTCATAAGCATGACAGCACACTGGCTCAGTAATGAATTTTCCCAGCACAGAGCAGTACTCAGAATTATGCATTTTCCAGAATGTCACACAGGAAAAAACATAAGTGAGTATTTACATAAAGGTTTAGTAAGTTTTGAAATTTCACACACAAAAATTCATATTGTTTTACGAGATAATGCGGTCAATATGGTAGCTGGTGTAAAAGACTTAAAGGTTTTAGATCAATGCTATGTTTTATACATACAATACAGTTATGTATACATGACTCAATTTTGTCGCAAAAATCTGTTAAGGATATTTTAGCTTGTTGCAGACGTCTGGCAACTCATTTTCACCATTCGCAAAAACTAGCAGCAGCTAAATTAGAAGCAATTCAGGAACAACTTGGTACAAATAAGCACAGGTTAATCCAAGATATTACTACGAGATGGAACAGTTCTTATGATATGATTGAAAGGATACTTGATCAAAAAGTTCCTTTGGCAACTTATACAGCTGATCATCCTACCCAATCAACACTAAATACATTTCAATGGGGTTTATTAGATAAAGTGTTGCATATTTTAGAACCATTTAAAACTTTAACCATTAATTTTAGTAAACGTGAATCATATTTGTCAGATGTTATTCCTTCAATTATGGCTCTGAAAGAATGTTTTAATCAAGCATTAGTATGTGAGGCTTTTTTAACAATAAATACTTTAGTTGAACATTTAAGTGGGTCGGTAGACAAAAGGTTGGGTCCATATTTACATGATAAATATTTATTTCTTTCCGCTTTTGTGACCCTAGATATAAATTGACATATCAAAAGGAAGACAAAGATAAAACAAAAAATTGGATAAATGAACAGATGCAAGAAATGCAACAAAGTAATTTAGATTTTGACGAACCATCAGTACATAACACAAATGAAGTAATTGCAAAACTAGCTTATCCAAAATTCAATAAATGTTTTCAGAAAGTTTCTAAACTGATAACTATAGATTTGCTATTTTCAGTATTTACAATATTGGAATGTGATTCCAATATTGTAAATACTGAAAATAGCAAAAGGTTAAAAAGATCGAATTTTAGTATACAAATGATAAACAAGGAGATTGAAGAGTATTTAAAGCTACCTCATGTCACGGAAAAAGAAAGTCTTCTCTTGTGGTGGAAAAATTGTGGAAATTCTTTTAAAAATTTAAAGAAAATTACCTAAAAGTTTCTTTCAGCACCATCATCTTCTGTTGAAAGTGAAAGACTTTTTAGTACAGGTGGCATCATTTACGAACCCAATAGAAACAGACTATCACCAGAAAGTGGCAAAAAATTAATGTTTATTTATTATAACTTGAGGACAATAAATGATAATTGATTTTCACTCATGTTTTTAATGTTTTATTTTTTCAATAATTGATTATTTTGTTAGGTGAAAGTTTAAAATTGTTGATTTGTCTAGTATTATTGCTATTGCATGTTTAGTTATATAATAATAACGTGATAGTATAAGTTACATAGTTATATAGTAATAACTACATAATAAATTGGAGCATTTTTATGTTTTTGATCACCACAATAACATTTTTCCATAAGTTTATTCCTTTCAAATAGTTTTCTCAGTTCAACTAGTTGAGTAGCCAAATTACGACGAACTTTTATTGTAAAGATTTTTTTTTAACGCAGCAGCAATAGGCGCCACTTAAAACGGACGTTTCTATCTGTTATTTTAAGTTTATTTTATATTATTACATTTTTGCGATTTTTCCAAAATAAAAAATTTGCTTCTTGCATGAATTTTATAACTTAAGTTAAGTTTAATTATTATTATTATTGTATATAAAAGGATAAAATTAACTAAAATATTGCTCATTTGAAAGGATTTTTCATTTTACTTTATACTAGTACTATTTTTTCTAAATAATGTAAACTAGTTGTACGTAATACATTCAGTTTTAAGTAATACATGCGATCAAATTAAATTTATTTTAAATTCAAAAAACTTGATGTAAATCTAACGTACTCATGTGTTCTATTGAAAAACATATTCTTACCTACTAGGCGTTGTTGATAAGAATCGGGTTTTCAATAAATAGCCATATCTATTGGTACTGTAGGTATTTAGGCTGAGTTATGATGATTTGATGATGTTAATTTCCAAATTAGCATTTTCAGCAAATGTTCGGCCGAACATTTGTCAAGGTTTGGCCGAACCGAACGTTCGGCAAAACAGCCGAACGTTCGGTGCATCCCTAATTTAAATATACAAAAGATATTTTGAATTGAAAAAGATTCCGAACATTTTATTGATTTAAGTTCATCTATTCATTTTTTTTTTTAAACAAAATTAAAACAGACAAACAAAAAGAAACAAGAAGAATCTATATAAGAAGGATATATGTATATATATATACATATGCACACATACATATACACATACACACACACACACACACACACACACACACACACACACACACACACACACACACACACACACACATATATATATATATATACATATATACATATATACAAATACACATATACATATATATATATACACATATACATACATACATACACACATATACACATATACATATACATACACACATATACATATATATACTTACATATATATATATATATATATATATATATATATATATATGTGTGTGTGTATATACATACACACATATACATATATATATACTTACATATACATATATATATATATACATACACACACACACATACATACAACACACACACATATATACATACATACAACACACACATATACATATACATACACACATATACATATATATATACACATGTATACACACAAACACATATACATACATACACACACATACATATACACATATATAAATATTTTTTAATATACATACATATATATATATATAAATATTTTTTAATTAAAAAATGAAAGAAGGTACTGTTTAAATTTAGTAAGTGTTTTTTTATAGCTCTTTTAAATATATCAATAGATTTTATTTTTTTCATATTTTCATCAAGAACCGAGTTCCACAAGCGTGGTCTCCGACATGCAATTGAGAAGTCAGACTTTTTGAGTGATGTTAGTGGGATGTAGTAATTATTTATTGAGTGTCTTGTTTTATATTTATGATTAATAAGAGAAAAGTTTTTATAAAAAAATTTTTGTATTAACAAACTTTTTTTTTCAGGAAATACTATTTCATATTGCTTGCAGAATCCACTTATTATATGAGTTGTTAGCATCGTTTGATTGCAATACCAGATTTCAATCAACGTTATTTCATAAAAGGTTTTGAAACTGTTTTACGGAGTTTTTATTGATCTGTCGCTTAAATGCTGTAGTTTTATAAGTCGTAAGACAAATAATTTTAAAGTCTTGTTTTAATTCATCCAAAAAAAAACCAAACAATGTGTATAAATACCTTTCAATATCGCTGTTAAGATAAGTTAAGTTTTTTTCTGATTAAGCATAAGATTCTTTGCATTTTACATCTAGTTACTTTAACCTGATGATTCTATTTCATATTGGATGAAACTATTATACCTAAATCTAGTTCTTTTATTATTGTTTAAAAAAAAAATTTAGTTTTCTTGTTTCATTGTGTAGTTGTAGTTAATGTTTTTCGCTCGATTTGCATAACACAGCATTTACTTATGTTAAATTTCAATAACAATACACTTGACCATTTAGCTAACAAATCAATGTCACTTTGCATTTTAATTAGATCATTGTCTTCTATTAAAACATATATAATTTTAGTACCATCTTTATGTAGTTTTGCAACACGAGCATAACGGGCTAAACAAGATACTCATTTTGTTATACGTATTTGTAACAAAACGATATACGTATATCATTTTGTTACACAATATGCCTTAGTGTTGAAGTTTAACAATTTCAACACTCAGGCATATTGTGGCACAATATACACAACACAAGGCCGTATCCAAACCGTATCAACCAACTCTCCAGTCTCCCCATTACCAGAATTTAAAAAAAAAGTTAATTTAGTGGCCCTTTTTTATTTTATCGATTTAATCTAAGTTATTCAATTTACCAATTTTGGATTCCAAAACGCTTTTTACAAGTTTTTCTCTATATAAAATGACTTGACATAAAAAATATAATATAAAAATATGCGATAGACCATGCCCAATTTTTAACTTTATTTGGCTAGTCAAGTTTTGTTTTTTTGCTTTATTCTATTTTAAGTTCTTTCTATGTTTTATATACTTTTTTTTTTTTAAGCATTGGTATCAACATCCCCTCCCCCTCAAATGAATCTTTAATAACCTTATACTAACACTTAAACTAAATAAATAAAACGTTTCCTCACCTCTTTGGCTATTGTGGTACCGAGTGTTTCGATCAGCACACGCACCTTAAGTGTGCACGAACCTACACCTACATTTTTTTCTAAAGCAAATAAACTATAAACTTGTTTTTCAATAACCGATTTACTATTTTTTTTACTGCTGTTTTTTAGATTATTTTAAATTTGAATAAAAGCCTGCTGTGTCGCGTTGTAATGTAAATACTATCAATCTCTTTGAATTATAAAATCATAAAAAATTATGTTAAACCATATTACTTACTGAAAACTCTATATTGATTGTATTTTAAATGTTTAACATTATACAAAAATATACAACATATATTCAACATAAAAATATTTAACATGATACAAAAATACGATTAAGGTTAAAAATTGTTTATTTAAAGTAAAGAGAAAAAAGAATGAAAAAACAAAGTTCTTATACGACTTTTGAAACGTCTAAAGACTCAGACTTACCTTTAAACTCAACTAGTCGAAAAAGTGAGGAAAATTTTAATGATCCGAGTATGTGGTATTATATAGATAAAGGTATGGTTCCAGCAAAACTTACTTACTTTTTCACGGGATTAGAAAGATCATCAATTGCACCTTATTTTACCATGTTCTTAACAAGTATTGGCTTAAATCTAAAACAAGTTGGATACGTGTTTGCTTTTTCCTATGCTGGTTTAATGTTAGGTAGCGTTTTTTGGGGAGTAGTAGCCGACAAAACTCGTGCTTATCGAATTCTTTTATTATTTTTATACTTTTTTTTTGCTTTAATTACATTATCAATTCCGTTGGTAAGTGCAAAAATTGGAGAAAAAGAAAAAAACCAATGTCCTGTATTATTAAGCAAATGTTGTTTAAACAGCTCTATGAATTTTTCTACAAATAAGACATCCAAGGATAATATTTCAGTATCCTCATCAACTATGACCATGGTTATGGCAACCTTGGGATTTTTGGTTTTTTCATTTGGTGGAAGTATTTACAGCTATAATGATGCAGGACTCATTTGGAAAATTAAAATGTCAACAAAAAAAAAAGATTATGGTAGGCAGTATGTGTTTTTAAATATTGGTTTTGCATGTGGAGCTTTAATTTCAGCAGAAGTGATGAAGGTATTTCCTAAAGTAGATCTTTCGTGTTATTTTGCCGTATTTTGCGTTAATATTGTGTTTATTATAGCATCGTGCATCTGTTCTCAATTATTATACAAAAACATAAACATATCATTGCAAAAAGAAGCTAGATCCGATTCGTTTCAAAGAGATCTTTTCAAAACATTGTCAAACTTTGAAGTTGATCTTTTTTTATTAACGACATTTGTAAATGGTTTATTATATTCCATATACTTAAGTTATTTTTTTTTATTTATGAAAGAAATAAAATCTACAGACCTTTTGATCGGTTTAACAGTAGCATTTGGATCGACCTCTGGTATGATTATAAACTTTTTCAATGAAATAATTATAAAATTATTTAGAGGAACATTTAACACCATGATTATGTGCACGTTTCTTTGGTCGGTTCGTTATTTCATATTTTACTTCTTAAAAAATCCTTGGTTGATCATACCGTTACAACTTACTCTCCATGGATTAAGTCTTTCACTATTTTTAAGTGTAAAATCAGTTCATTTAAAAAAAAAAGCTCCAAACAGTATTCACAATACGATGTTTGGAATTGTTCAATGTTTGTATAGTGGTGTATCAATGATTGTCGGAAGTTTTGTTGGAGGTCAATTGTATTACGCGTATGGTGCTCGAATAACATTTTTATATTCTTCCTTTTTTGCGCTAGGGTGGACATCGCTTTTAATTGTTTACATAATTGCAATAAAACTATGGAAAATAAATGTTGGTAAAAAGCCAAACTCGACTTGCCAGGTAAACACTTCAATTAATATTGGCAATGATGATACTAAATTTTGAATAACATTTTTTTTATGAAAATAGTGAAATCTCCATTTATTTTTTAATTATATTTATTTTTTTTACTGGAAAGTAAAATCTGTTACGATTTTCTATTATAAAAATTTCTATTGGTGGAGCTAGATAAATTGTTATTATTTTTTTATTTTGCGTTTTGTATTGTTTAAAACAATTTTTATTTCAATAATTCCTGCGGTGATTACATCAACAATAAAAAAACAAACAAAATAAAATTATTGATTTTTCTTTACCTCTCTTACCAACAACTGATACAATCCTGGTTATAGCTGTTTGTTTAATGAGATTAGAACACCTTGATGGCACTTTTGTTTTTATGTAAAATTAGTATCGAGTTACCCAAAAGTTAAAAAAGGAAACGCTTTGATGAATGAAAATTAATTTAAAACATTGACTTTAATCCCAATTTATTCAAGCTCATTTTAGTAAACTTTTTGAGATCTTTTTCCAAATGCTTCCTAATGCTTTGAAAACGTAAGAAAAATAATATTAACAGGATGCTTACGTGATAAAATAAAGGTAAAAAAAATTTATAGCTTTAAGTAAGTTTATAAAGCAGGAATTTTATGCTGACAAGTCCGTCTTGACATTTGGAAAGAAAATTATCACATAAAAAGTGATATGTAACCTTGTCTTTAACTATTTTTTACATTGTTTTATATGGTACAAAAGTAAAAAATATTTTTCTAGTTGTTTATTACTGTCGTGTCAGCATATTGTGCCATCTGCACAATATGCTAGCACGACGCTAGCCTGTCTTGCTGGTACCGCTACGTTTTGCCTACAGTTTTTAGAGTGGTTCTTCATCCACAAGCTACTGATGGGCCGTCATCGGAATAGCAAAATCTCAGCAAACATACCTTTTTTGGACCACCACGTTAACACCGTAAGAAAAAAAAACGTTTACACGACGCTTTCCACGTCGTGTTGGTACTACTGCATTTTATTCATCGGTTTTAGAGCAATTTTTTGTCGATGAACCGTCATTATAAGAAACATCAACCTTATATGTCGCAAAGCAAAATTTAAATAAAATAGTAAATAATTACTTAAAATATCTAAATTCTATGCTATCGTACAGATTGCATTCAAATAAAACCAGTATTGTTATTGTAAAGTTATTGTTGTGAGTCATCGTCATTATCAGTGTTTCACACGCCACTTCTTTTTTAACACTTATCATTCTAACATGACTTCGAGCATTTTGATCTGGTGCTCCAGGCTAAAAAAGTGTAAGAAAAAGCCCTCTTTCTAAATTGATTTCAAAGTTATATTTTAGAAATAGTTATAAGTTCAATATGTTTAAAATACAGATATATATGTTCCATTCATTTTAGGTGCAGTTATATATTATTCATTATATTTGGATTTAGTAACTTGGTTTGAGTTCAAAAACTACAAAACTGGTAACTAAAATAAAGTGCATACAAATAAGCAAATTAAGTTACTCACTTTCAAGTACACGCCTAAACAACAAGCATTCTATTGAATTAAAGATGGCAGCCGAATTCATGGAGGAAAAATTATTTAAAGCAAATAAACAAATATTTAATGATACAGATAATCAAATAGAGTCTTATAAGTTCCTAAACAATTTTGAAAGTTTTTCACAAGATTTCTCAGAACCACAAGCAATCTTGAGAATGGGACATACAACAATTTTTATAAATATTACTCTTAAAAGAAAAAAAGAGCTAACGCACAAGCAGATATCTTACGAAAATTATGTCGGACTTTATGCGTAACAAGTGTTCATATCAAATTAACTTGATAAGAAGATTCCAATGATCCAATTATGAAATGATCCAATTATGGAACTTAAAAGAACAAAGAGAAAAAATAGTTCCTAAAACAGATCTAACCGTCTAGTCGGTCTAGCTATTGGCATTAAAGAAAATTTGGAGAGCCAAGACTGGCCTCAATTTAATTTGTAACTGTTTTAATATAAATTACTTTACCTGTAATTTTATTACTGGGTTTAAGAGAAAATAACATAATTAATTGCACATTCTAATATCTAGTGCAATATCTGTCCGCTTTCACTATGCTATCTTTCTATATTGCCTTCTTCTGACTTTTATACTATGATCATTCTTTCTTCTTAAAATCACTTACTCTTGGTCTACAAAGCGGGTTATAACCCAGAGCGACGAATCTTATAAATCTTAATAATTTTTCTTATTAAGAACTTTAGTAAGATTAGTAAGGCTTGCAAGACGTACAAAAAAACTAATAAGATCTTATTAAAATTTGTAAGTTTAGGTACAATTTCTTAGATTTGTAAGAAATTTAAGATCTTAATATGATATGTAAATTATATCATAGTTTCTTAGTAAGATTTTCAGGTTCTAATATGAATTCTTTGTAAGATTTGTAAGATCTTACAAGATTATTTTATAATTATTCCGATCAGAATTTAGTAATAATGTAATTATTACTAAATTCCACTCATATTTTTGCGTAGCGGTAGAATATTCAATCGCGAAAATATGAGTGGAATTTAGTAGGGTTGGAATAACTAAAAAATAATTATCTAAGATCATTTGAACGTATGGTCATTTAAGATCGTACGGAACTGTCTTGCATATTTATTTTGCTGTTTTATATATTATATGTATAACATATAATATTGAGATGAACATTATTATTTTATTAGTTAAAAAAGTTTTTCGAGAAGAAATTATATGAAGTACTTAACTGTTTTATTTATTAGCGTATGCTAACAACTTAAAGTTAATTGTTAGCATATGCTAACAAATTAAAGTTATTTATTAGCATATGCTAACTACTTAAAGTTAACTATTAGCATATGCTAACAACTTAAAGTTAATTATTTGCATATGCTAATAACTAAAACAATTTAGTACTTTAATTAATTTGTTCTCTAAAAAAATTTATAATCAAAAATAAAACAGTTCTCATCTTAACAGTATATGTAATACATGTAATATATTATACAACAAATTACTTATGCAAGAACTCCATACTGCAACACTAAAAATACTGCAACGAAAATTATAAAAAAATAAAGTATTACAAATAAGATAGAATAATACTCATAAAAACTTGATAGACTAAATTTTTTCTCTATAATTTACAAATTAAATAAAAATACAAATATAAGTTAACTTAGATTGCATTGATGCTCAGCAAGTGATAAAACAATACTATATAAAACTGCGCGCAGTTCAACTGTTTAAATATTTCCATTTATATCAAGTTTCATCGGATTGATCTCGTTTTCAGCTGTTTTTAACAAAGTATTTTACAATGACTTAATTAATTTTTCTACTACTACACAATATTGTTTGGGGTATCTTTCACCAGAATGTTTGGGGTATCTTTCACCAGAATGTTTGGGGTATCTTTCATCAGAATGTTTGGGGTATCTTTCACCAGAATGTTTGGGGTATCTTTCATCAGAATGTTTGGGGTATCTTTCACCAGAATGTTGGGGTATCTTTCACCAGAATGTTTGGGGTATCTTTCACTAGAATGTTTGGAGTATCTTTCTTAAGCATTTTTACCAAAATAATTTATTTTTGGATCGACTTAGTAAAACTTTAAATTTTCTGGACCGAGATATTTTATGCAAAATTAATATTATTTTATGATAATTGATAATCAACAATGATGCATACATCAATTTCTTTCTGAATCTATTGTTTAAGAAAGAAAAATGATTATATTTATTTTTATTTAGTTGTTATTAATAACTACTCAAGACTAAGACTAATACTCAAGAGTAAGACTCTAACGCATTACCCAGTGGAACTAATAATTAGTAGCTTGTTGCAGCTGCTTGTCACCATTTGCTTCTACAACTACTATTTAACTAAGTGGAACTAATTATTAGTAGCTTGTTGCAGCTGCTTGTCATCATTTGCTTCTACAACTATTTAACTAAATACATAATATTACTACATGAATTTAAAATTTAGGAGCTAATATTTTTAATATATTTGATAACATTCAAAAGTTTAGGTCAATAATTCTCGATATTAACTCAAATATTTAATAACAAATAAACTAAAACAATTAATAACAAACGATTACAGTATTTAATAAAATGTAATACCTTAATTATGTATCTACAACATTACTTTAAAGTTTGCAACATTTGATTTCCTTTATATATATATATATATATATATATATATATATATATATATATATATATATATATATATATATATATATATATATATATATATATATATATATATATATATATATATTTATATATATATATATATATATATTTATACATGTTTATATATATATATATATATATATATATATATATATATATATATATATATATATATATATATATATATATATATATATATTTTATAAACAATTTGTTTATGCGGATTATAAACAATTTGTTTATGCGGATGATAACGTATCATCTAGTTTGTTAAATATTTTATGTGGAGTTCCTCAAAGATCCATATTAGGACCTCTCCTATTTTTAATATATATAACCTAATGACAATTATGTTTGTTGATGATTCTAACCTATTTCTTTCTCATAATAACATTATTACACATTTTAGCAATATGAACATAGAACAAGTCAAAATTTCCGAATGGTTTAGATTAAACAAACTCTCACTAAATATTGATAAAACTAAATGGATTTTTTTTCATCCTTATGGTAAAAAGCACCAGCTGCCTAGCAACTTACCTTTTTTATTTATCGTTAACATAGTTGTTAATAGAGTTTTAGTGACAAGATTTTTAGGTGTATATACCGATGAAAATCTTACATGGAAATGCCACATTGCTAATTTGTGCAGTAAAATTTCAAAGAGTATAGACATGCTATACAAAATAAGAAACGTTCTTGATAAAAATACCTAAATTCAATTATATTATTCGTTAATTCATTGCCATATCAACTATGCAAACATTGCTTGGGGTAGCACTTATAAAAGTATACTTAAACCTCTCTTTCGGCAACAGAAGCATGTAGC